AAAGTTCAGAGGTAGAAGAACAGAATTTTTTATTTTTCTCCTTTAGAAGAAAAACTTTATCATATTTTTCTTCCCTTTAATTCAGGGCAAGCATACAAAGAAGAGTCACTGTTACCCACCGATGAACAGAGACCATCGCAGAATCATCCATGAGTTGGCTCAGGTTTACGGCATTGAAAGTGTGAGCTACGACAATGAACCAAAGCGCAACGTCGTTATCACTGCGGTGAAGTATGTAACGCGTTTTTTACTATTAACTCTTGGTCAAATACTTGGATGTTTATATCATTTACATGAATGGGTTAGAAAATAAGGTTTTGCAAGGCTGCTTTCTATTAATCTCTTCAGTAGCTTTATATTTCTGCTCTCAGCTAAATTAGACATTGCTGTAATAGTAACTTGATTTTTTTTAGAAAAAATAATTGCTGCCTAAAGAGGACCCACCTTAATTTACAGCTTCTGTGACGTCTGTTACTGGAGCTTGTTTTCTTTCTCTCTTTTTGAACCTGCCACAGAATATATTCCCCCTTCAGCTAATGGACAAAGAAAGATGGAATTATTGCAAATTTAAGAGATCTCTAAGCAGACCCGTGAATACTTGGAGAGGAGCCATAGAGTTCAGAGTAGTGAAGGAAAGGAAGGGCATACAGTTGGGGTAAAAGTAAGATTATTGCATAAGACTAGACATGGATGGAAAACCTAGGCTTCCACAGCTCATGGGACAGCTTAATTCTGTCAGATTGTCTGTAGCATTCTCAGATCATTATCTTTGGTAGCTAGTTTTTTTATTTTTATTTTTTTTTCCCCTGAGGGAAAGTGAGAAAGCAGATGATACTTGAAAAAGCTCAGTTTAAAAAAATAGGTAAGAGGGGATGAAGGGAATGAGAGATGAGTGAGGAGGAGAAAGTATCAGAGAAGGGAAAGGAACTGATAACTGTGCCTTAAAAACCAAGGTTTTGCATCCTGCAGCTGAAGAATGGGAAGCTTTCAGGGAGCAGCACATAGTGCAGAACAAGCTTGCTGTGTTGCTTCCCTTCTGCCCCTCCACAAGGTGCTGCCTGCTCTTCTGAGAACCTGCTCCAGCTGCACAGCTATGTGCCTCGCTTCAAGGGCTTCATCCAGGTCTTCTTCTCATTGCCTTATTGCCCCTTCTTCAAGGTGTAGAAACTAGTGAAGCCTCACACAAGTGATTATCCAAACTCCAGAGTGATGCTGGAGAACTTGGCCACAGCTGCTTCTAGTGCAGAGCGCAGTAACTGCCGGAAAGCCAAGTGCTTCGAGGCGGTTTGTTCATTCTGCTCTCAGCATTCCCTAGCGGCTTCTGTTTCTTCCTATTCATGGTGTGTGAACAGTCACTGAACAGAGCATTACGGTTGGGCTAGCCTGAGGGGTAGATTTTAATACATAAGAAAATGTAAGTCACTAAGTGTTTAAATTATTATCGTGTTTTTAGATGAGTTGTATGTTATTTTTGCTAACCAAAATGATTTCCAGGATATAGTCTTCTCTAATAAACTGCATTTAGTTAGATTGCAATTAGATGACAATGTCATGTGTATCTATAGACAGATTTTTATGCAGATTTACATATATCTACACAAATAGATTTAATATGGGGTTAGACTCTCATTTGTAATTACATAAGTTCATGTATATTTAAATTATTTTATATGGTGTGTGTGTGTATATATGTCATTTGCTGGATTTTAGCAAACCAAAAATTCATTGGGATTTTTTTCTTTATTGATCTGTGTTTAGATGGAAATTAACTCAAATCCAGAAGTTGCTATTGCATAATAACAATAAACTGGAACTATTTTTACATATTGTAGCTGCATTAGGAAAATGTAAATTCTTTAAGTCATATTTTGTATTCCAAGTTGACTTATCAAGGGCACGAAAGCAATAATGAGAGAATATAGAATGGACTCTGTAAACTGGCTAAGAGAACATACTGATTGACATCTTGGAAAATGACTAGCCTGCAGAATAATAACAAAGATGTATGAAATCATCGCCTAAGTAGCAAATATACATAGTTCCTCTTTCTCTTTTTCTCTTAACTGACACAATAAAGGTCAGAAATAAAATTACCAGGTTTGAAACAATTGCAAGAAGCAGCTGTTTGTTCCTACAGTGCATAAGTAAATTGTGCAATGGAGTGTTTGCAAATCAGTGACTTGCTTGTAAGAGTAAATAGCAATGCTGTAGCATATATATGTAATTCAAGAATAAGGTCACTAGTCCTAGCTTTTTTGTATATGGGTTAGACTGTGGTTTAAGATGTAATTGTGCTTGTGAGAGTCAAAATATGGACAGAGATACAGCTGCATTAAATGAGTCATACATTTTTGTTTTCAAATCTAGAGGCCCATCTGATAAAAAAGAAGCTAGTTGGCAAATGATATGTACAGATTATATTTGCAGAACAGGAACATATATCTTGGGGACAGAAAAAGTATTCCTTAGAAAAAAGGGACATTCAGATAGAAACAAGAGAGCAGTACAGTTTAGTGTACACAGAATTGCTAAAATCCTACTACACAGGATTTGATCTGGGTCTTATAATATCAGTACCACAGGATTAAGGGGGCAAGATTTAAGTGTTAATTTTTTTCAGTTTGTTTATCTCCCAAAACAGATTAAAGAAAAGATTCTATACATGGTGCTAACAGTGCCAGGTTTTTTTTTATTATTTTTCAGTTTACAACTGAATCATAGTTGAAGTTGAAATAATAATAAAAAATAAATAAAAAATAATAATAATAAAAAACTATTCTTGAAATGTCTTTCACGAGTTTCAGGAAATATTAAAAGCTCTCCACAACATGTATGCTACTTATTGGCCCATTTTTGGATTAGATTCCCTTTTGGAACGGCCAGGGGGTGGCACTGCTGAGAGGGTGAGCCGATGGGGGTGGCCTTCACCATGCAGTCCTCTGTGGCCAGGCTGTAGATGGTAACTGGTGTGGAGGGCTGGGAGAGACGGTGTTTCTGCTTCGTTTTGGGATCTTGTGCTTGGGCTAGCTGGAAGATGCTGCTGCTGCATTGTTGCCAAGCCAGAATTCCTTGAGGTGCTGCCCTTTTGGGTATTTCTTTTTTTCCCATCACTTTGACATGACTGCTGTCAGAGTTTGGAAAGTTGGTTCCAAACATTAGACATCACCTTGCAAAGCTGGAGGAAGCTGTGATCACAGGAGGCCAAGGTCAGCTATTGCAGTTGTTGCTTCTGATCATACATCTGCTCTACAAAAGAACAACTATAAAAATCTGTGCTGTGAAAGAGTAGGTGCATGTTACCTCAGAGTGCAAGTGTTGTGCTTCTAGTGTCTTTTGGCAGTTTGACCACATTAGCACTTTATTTTAGGTTAACATGGAGAAAGCAATCTGGGCACCTGTAGATGAGTATAGCAAGCTACTTGTGCATCTTTTAATTGGTGTGCTAACTCGAAGGCATTCAGAATACCAAATATCTTGTTCTCAGCAATCAAAATTGAATTTGCCCATTTGGTCTCTATTCATAGTTGGGAAAGCTGAATATTTGTATATTTTTAAATACACAAATATGAACACTAATTTCAGGTCTGCTGCTTGTAAAAGTAACTTTCTCTGCCCTTACTTCTTAATGATTATAATTTCCAGTTGATCATGCAAACAAAATAAACTTTTGTTTTCTTTCTTTCTCTAGGGGGAAGTCGGTTTGTCCAAGCAATACCTTGACTTCTGTGCTGGATAAAGAAATGCAGAGCAGACCTCCACCTCCTATTCCTCACTACAAGCAAACAGATAAGTAAGGAACTTGTCAGGTAGTGCTCTTCATTTAGTGCTGAGATCACTGAGGGGCTGTTCAAAGGTCGCTGCTTCTTGGTTTTCTCAGCCCACATAGAGCTTTGGAGCTTGCCGTCTGTGCTGAGTTTTGATTTCCGGAAAAGTAAAATTGAAGTGAAATGTTAACAAAAGATAGAATTAGCTGCGTGCTGTAAGGGAAGTAATATTACAAATATTGTGGATTTTTTTTTTATCTAAGGTTAGACAGTTGGGGAAAGACAACTGTGGGGGGACAAAAAAAAAAGAAAAAAAAAAAGGAAGTCTTACTGGCATAAAAATTTATTTGGACAGTTTGTAAGTTTGTGAAATTATTTTTTGTGTGTAGATGTCACTATACAATTGACTAAAGGTGAACTACTGAACTACATTTTCTCAGGTACTGAAAGCTACTGAAGATGGGATATACAAAGCTTCTTGACTGAGTAGTCTAATACACCAATCTTTACTTTTTATGACCTGCCAGCTTCAAGTACCTGTAGTCGTCTCAAAGAAATTATTTTTTTTAAAAAAGTTGGCTTAATCTTTGTTTGCTTTTTACCTTTCAAAACCCTTTTTACAGCCCCTAGTTATTTTCCAAATTTGGAAATTTGGAAAATTTCCAAAGAAATAATGTCTTGTTAGGAAGGAGGAGGGTACAGCTTTCAGTTTGAAGAAGGGACAACTTAAATTTGCTGAAACTATTGCATTAGGTATTGGGTGGCCTAGGTCCTTCTGGAATACAAAATAGACAGTTCTGGAAAAATGAACTGTATTAGAATTAATCTTTTAGACCAAAACACAATGTCAGTGATTGCTTACTCTATAACTCACCCTGACCTTTTTTTTCCAAAGAGGTTGCTAACCTTTATTTCCACTTACCTCTGTGGGATTCCTATCTGTTCAATGCCCCTACTGAAAGATCACATGACACAGTTGTAAACTATATTAGCCGATTTTAATTGTTGAAAGTAAGGTTTCTTTAGAAGCATTTTTCTTCTAGAAGATATTTTGGAAGATACTGGTTTGTAACACAAATCTTTACTATAATTGGACGTAGTATTACCATAGATCTCTTCCAGTAACTCTTGATTTTGAAAGTGAGTAGATCAGACCCGTGACTTCCTTCAGTATTTCTTTTGGTCTTCCTTTGAAAAAGGGTTGCATTTGAGCAGCCTGTCTTCAGTGTATTATTGCTTGCGCAATAAATATGCCATTAAATGGTATTTGCAAAGGTCCCAAAGTAAATTCAGCCACACACATAATGTGTATTAATATAGCGTATTTACTTCCTAAAATCACAGTGAAGATGGCTACTTTTTTTGCACACTAAGATATTTTTACTAAAACATAATTTAATAAATCAGGCCACCTACCAGTACAGTGTATATGTACACACTGAGGCGCTAGGGGAGTTGGGTTGGTTTATTTTGTATCTTGTTTTTCATGCAGGTGAGTAACATCTAATACTCTCTTAATTTCAGGAGTATCGGAAACAATGGTTTGCCAAAATCATTAAAAGAAGAGCCAGTAATTGACTACTTTGATGTCCAGGACTGAAGTAATTCGTGGAGAATTAAGATACAGAAGTTTCAAGGAGGTGAAGATGCTCAATAGTTGTGCAAGACTTATTTCTGTTAGGTGATTAGTCATCATTTTATTACAAGATTTAACATGCATCTAAAGTTAGATTATTGTATGTTAAAAAGTTATACAATCTTACAGTTTACATATCTGCATAACACCTAACAGTATGGAAGCTTTTTAAAGCTGGGGTTGGTGCAATTTCTCACCCAATGTGCTGTCAGAATGATGTAAATCTCCACTGATGCCTTTTAAGGATGAGAGCTGGTAATCGAAAAGGTTACTTGGGGTAGTAGGAACAGCGATAAATCTCAAGGACGGACTTTGGCAGATCATACACAATTTAAAATGGGACACCAGACCAGAAATACCTACGTTTCAAACGCTAATGCAAAAATTCCAAAGGAATTCTCCTATTTTATTCACTTTCATGTTTAAATAGTAATTTGGGGGTTCCTACAGAAGGTAATGCAGACTTTTTTTCAATGTCTAAGCACTAATATTGAGTCTAAAATAACTGGGAAATGCTGGGTAAGAGCTCAAACTACCTTTGGTATCTGAAGGACCAGGATTTGGGGAAGTGGGGACTTATTTTGCTTTAACTCAAATTTGACAATTAAAAAAAATACAAGTACTTTGTTTGTTAAGACCTTGAACAATATCAGACTTCATGTATTATTTTGGTATTATATTCGCTTTAATTTGTATTTAGAAATGTTAGCTTTCTGATTTGTTTTGCATGATTTTGTTGGAGGTTTATAGATTTTTTCTGTGTTGTGCAAGCTTATGCTTGTGAAGCTTGGTTTAAGTATGAGTTTGGTTTTGGTTTAAGTTTTTGAGTTTGAAACAACTTCTGTAAAATGTGTAAGAATGTCTGTCTTAAGTCTTTGCCTCCGGAAGATCTTTGTTGCACGGGGAAATGCCATAAGCCATGGGCTAACGCTTGAAACAGTATAATATTGACTTACCAAAGCACTCTTAGAGATGGTGAGTTGTTGCAAGTTGCTTCACTCAGGTAGGTGAGAAGCTCTTTGGGAAAGGGCATGAATAAACTGGCACAGCTGTGACTGAGTTGATGTCTCTTTGGTTGAGGTGGTGGGTCGTTGAGTTAATGGCTTTGTGATTCTGACACAGTTTTACTGCTGCTTGTTTCTTATGGCCGCAACTACCATTAGTGGTGATTCCCTGTAGAGCACCAGAGGCTGCTGAGAAGGGCTTAGCACCACGAGCAGACAGCTCTAGCAGAAGATTAACCTTCTGTTGTGGATTTAGCTTTCAGCCCCTCACTCAGCTGCAGCGGGAGGACTGTTGGCAAGCAACTTGGAAGCCAGTGCGCTGTGTTAGACTTGCTCAAAGTTATCATGAAGCCCCGAGCCTAAATGTAGTCTTTGATCACATTTTATCGTAAACAGCTTGTGAAGCATGTAAGAGTGAGCAGCAAACTCCCAACCACATCTGCCCCCCCCCCCAAAAAAAGTTTTCTAAATGAAAATGCATGCTGTTATTTTCATTTCTGCATGTTCTTATTAGTTGAGATAAATACAGCTTTATACACTTCTAAACGTTTGAAATGCACATCCTTCACTCAGAACAGTTACCAAGAGGATTCCCAGCGTTGAAGGCTGTTCAGGACTTTAACTTGCATGTAATGGTTTAAATTACCTTTTTTGTTTTACATTTTTGTGAACAGAAACAAAAGAGAAATAAACATAGCTTATAAGGCCTTGAATTTCTTAAGCAAATTTATGTTTATCCTACAAGGTACTGCTTTGCTATCTCCAGCTGGAGAAGCAAGTCGCTCAGCAACTTTCCAGGAATATATTTCTTCAGTCTTGTTGTGAGGAGTGTATCTATCCCAAAGCCAGCAGACAAGTGTGAGCTTCAAGTGGGCAAAAGCTGGTTCTGGTTTAAAAACTCAAGAGCCTTGTTAATTTAACACTATTTTCAAGCTTATAATGCTTCTTATGGAGAATGTACATAGTTATATACATAGTTATGTACATAATTAGGTTCTGGACAGGGGCTTGCACAGGTCTGGCCAGCTCAGAGTTGTAGGTAAAGTGAGCTCCAGTGTGCTTGCACCAAACCCCATTGGTATCCTATGGGTAGTCCTAACGTGAAAGAAAACCCAAATGACTTAGTTGATACTAGTTAAAATGGAACTAAAGCCTATTAACTTTTTGTACACTCGTGTGAAAAGGACTGCAACATCCTATTGGCACCTCTTGTTCTGAAACGTAAATCTTAAAAGGTTTTAATAACAACATAATCAGCTCTCCTGATCGGAGTTTTTATTAATAAATTATGACTTTAACATAAAAATACGAGCCTAACGAGGTAAACCTCAGCTTATAAAGGTGAGCCTAAGGGTTATATTGAATCTGTCTATACAGAGAGGTCATGATGTTCATCACTATTTAAACTACACATGTTAAAATGTGTTCACAGATGTGCTTCTTTAAATCATGGCTATTGGAACCTCTCTGTAGTTTTGAAGCAAATGGCAAGACCAGGAACACTTATTTTGGAATGTATTTTGACAACAAGTAGTGTTCCCCAAAAAAAAAAATAAAGGGGGGAGAAAGGCGGGGGTAGGTGGGGGAAAAAACTCTCTTCTCAAAACATACTTGCTTAGCCTTAACAAGAAGCCTAGCCAAGCTGGACAGTGGTGCTCCCGTCTCTGCTCTGGTTTGCTTTTGCTGCAGCCCATCTGTACCTTCCTTAGGGAACGGTACTAGAGGCCGGAGCTCTAGAAATCTGCCCTGACAAGGTTGTTGCTGTTCTGCGTGTGCCTGTGGAAGCGTCTTTCACACTGCTCTTTTGCAAGTCTCTGAGCTGGCCCTTGCACCTCTTTTCTAATGAAAAAATAAAAAATAATAAAAAAATTGTCTCTGTGAAATTAATGGCAAAAAACTGTTGACATAGTTGGAACTAATCGGTAGACTTAACCTTGGATATGCTAGTTATTTTCTGCAGCCCTCAGACCAGTATTGTTTACTGTAAATTGCTCCGTGTAAGTACTCTGCAGTAAGTCTCTTTTGAAGTAAATTGTGTGACATCAATTGGAGTTCATGCAACTTTATGAAGTGCTTTTAAACTTGTGTATAAAATAGATATTTTGACATTTGGGCTGTGCTCTTACATAGCTACATTGTTTAGTGCATTTAAAGTGCTCTGAATATTCAGTGCTTCAGGTACAGAGTTTAACCTAAAATTGTGCAAGATGTGGAAGTTAAATATCACTGTTTCTGTGGCAGTTTTGTACAATATATGCCACATAATGAAATAGGCAAAATAAAATTGTTCTCTTAAGAAACTCTTAAGAAATTTGTTGAAAGCTTTATATTTAACTCAATTTTTTTCAAGTTTCCTGGTGTAAAATGGCTTTCTGTATAAATCCATAATAAATGTAAGTTGAAAGTCCAGTGCCTTGGAATCCTGTGCGAGCTTTTTCAAGGTATTCAAAACTTGGAGGAGTGGTTGTGGTATCACAGGGAAACAAAGATTTAAATAGAAGGTGCAGAGGTCATCTTCAAATTTTAAAATATCAGGTGTGATTTTATTTTTTTTTCTTTCTAAGTAATAATGAGTGCTGTAAGGGAATGGCACAAGTGAATGGGAACTCCATAGAAAATGGAGAACAAGGATTATCTGCTACCTGTTTGGGATCTAAAAATACAAGAGAGATGATTATCTGAGGAGCAATTTACAGGTGGCCCGAGTTGTGGGGTGGTTCTGTTTTGTTTTGTCTTTTGTTGTTATCTAAACCACCTTCTACAAGGTGTGCCCAAATATTACCTGGCAATAAAATGTAGGGCTTCAACTGATTGCTGCCTCACTGTTGTCTGCCTACCATTCAGCTGTAATGACTCCAAGGAAGAGTGGTTTTTGTCAGGGGGAAAGATTAATTGCTTAAAATACCCTGAGAGCTTTAGACTTAGAGAACTGTTAGATGGGCAGAGGAGGAGAATGAAAACTCTTTCAAATCAGTGCAATAGATAGCTGGGAGACTCAAAAGGAAAGAAACAAATTCAAAATAGTGTTCAGCCTGAAACACCTGTAATACTAAGTAATGTATCATCTGCAGTGAGAGCTGCAGAAATGAAGAGCAACAACAAAAAAAGATCTGGCTTTATGTTTCAGATGGAGTGCAAAGTGGCTCAAAGCAGTGAAGAAATGATTCAAAATTGAAGAGCTCTTGGAAAAACAACTGAATGCCTCTTGGCTTCCTGCCTCGGTTGCCGTTAAGACTTGCTTTTTAGGATGTTATGGAGGATCGAAATGTGATGTAGCAGGTATAACCATTGCAGAATAGATCTCGTTTGGAAATCTTTGCCTGGAAAGTTACTTGCTCTTTAGTTTAGGATTTAATTGGATGACTGCCACGTTCTCAAACCAATGTGCACCAGTACCAGCAGAGAAGACAATTCAATATTTGTGTGTATTCACACAACAGATGATCTTGAGTATCTTCCAAAACCATTATGACCGTGACAGGGCCACAATAGTCCCATTATTGTAGTTGTGGAATATCATCTTACTGTCAAATGGAAGTTTTCATACCATAAATAAAACAATTTTTACTGTTAAAGACAAGAGTATTAAGGTATTTTCACCTGAGTTTTCCTGCAAGTCCTACAAATCACACTTTATATTTCCTCAGTGTTCCTGGGATTGCACAGTCTCGTTTACATTTTATAACTTTTTAGGTGTCATTATTGCACAGAAAAAAAAAAAAAGAAGACTTAAGCTCAAAGGCCAGGACATACTTTCTTTCCTTGGTCTCATGATTTTCCAGGCACCCTATTAAAAGATTGAGAATTGGTAATAATACATCAACAGCAATGTCCTGTGTATTAAGAGAAGAAGAAGAAAAAAAGGTGTCTAGTCACTTATTTGGGATTTAATTTCCTTGCGTGGGACTTCCTTGTTTTTAAATTGGGTGGCTTCTCTCTTTCCATGGTGTGCAGACAATA